GCGGATGTAGAACCACGAGGCGATGGAGGCCTTGAGCAAACGCAAACAGTGTGGCGCTATGACCTCAAGTGGCTTGACTGCGCGAAGTACAAGTTGCGCGTCAGTGCACTTTTGATACCGCTGATAGATCAACACACCAGACTAATGGTGCGGTCGCTACCAGATACATTGGCCTTGATTCCATCTCGGCAATATACCGCCACGTTCATCAGGTGGATTGATCCGTGACTTGCCCTTAAGCAGCCAATGTTCTGCTCCCTCCTCGGCAAGTGTGCCCTCCATATTACGCGCATAGTTGATGACTGGACCGTTCGTGCTAGCTATGTGCTTGGGCACTTTTCCAAGGTTCTCTTACAGCTGACGGCCACATGGGTTGGTCTGAATGCAGTCAGACGTTCGTTCCATTTGTCTGCGACTACCCGCGTGTCACAACATTAGTGGGTGTACAGATAATCTGGGGAAAAGCATCCTTGAAGGGATTGTGTTATCGTCGGTTAGCTAACTTTTCTACTACGAGAGATCTTCTGGTTGTCACATCATCATAGAGTCACCTATTAGAAATTGTCGTCATACATGGGTATAGTATGAATTGCGGAAGTAATGAATGACCAATCGTGGTCAGTACCCTTAGCCATAGTCCACATGGGTTGGCAGCATCTCACAGATCCTTCATTGAGCTATACAAGTAATGTAGGCAACATGATGAAATGCCTAAAGGCTCTCACTTCCTCACCTACCGCCACACCTGCCAAAATAAAGTAACGCTCTTTCCCCTCCAATTCTGCCTCGAGCCTCTACGTAATATTATCAACTCTCCATACTAAACTTCCAAGGTTCTGCACCACCGATCTGCTATCTCTAGATCCCCACAATGAAGTACTTCAGTATCATCACCTTCCTCACAAGCCTTACCGCAATCGCCCTCAGCTCCGTCGTACCACGCGGCGTACTCTCCGACCACAACAGCAACAGCGCGAACCTCCCCTCGCCCGCTCAATGCGCAGAAGGCGAACTACAATGCCTCACTACCCTCCATAGCGGCTACGACGGCATAAACATTTGCGAGCACGGAAAGTGGGAGGCACGCGACACATGTCGCTGCACCGATAAGCCATCACCTCAGTGCATCGACGCTACGCTTTCTTCTCGCGACAATACCTTAAGCCGCCGGTGCGAGGAAGGCGTCCCGAAGTGTATGTTGCGGGAGAACAACGGGAATGGAGGCGTGCTCTTCAGGTGCAAGAACGGGTTCTGGAAAACTGCTATGCGTTGTCGATCTTCTGAGCGTTGTCATGATGGGAAGCTGGCTACTTGTTCGTGGCCTGGTGCAGCTTAGGGGAATGGATAGGGGAGGGGTTTTGGCTGTTGTCGTCGCTGAGATGGGAGAGCAGGGTAGTACTATACGCTCTGAGAGTCATAGCTGTGGGCAGGTCACAAACGGACGAGACGAATGACCGCTTTAACACTTTATAGTATTCATGTAACTCTACTATCAACCGGAATGGAACAATGCTATCGCCATGTCAAGGTATCGCTACATCCCACCACTCTTCAAACGCCGTCAACACGTACTCATTTCGTATAAATCACCATCTACATGTTCGCCAACAAGTACTTCAAACCAGCCCACATCTCCTCACCACTGGGCAGGATCTGCGCAGCGGGCAGGACGAAGCCGTAGTTACCGGTATCCCTCAACTCAACCGTCATGGAATAGTTTGCCTTGGCAACCTCGAAAGCGTAGTCTACAGAGTCGCCGCTGACCTGGTAAATGGTGTTGCAAATGGGACCGCCTGTAAACGTAGTTCCGTGCACAGCCTTGACAGCGGCAATGGCGCCCTTGGTAAGGGAAGCATACTTCGAGGAGTTGGGAACAACACCAGAGCATGTGTAGCCGTATGGGTACATCCAAAGCTGGCTATAGGCGTGGATGTCCATGTATAACGCGATTCCTCGGCCGGCGGCCAGGCTGTCGAGTTGGGCCTTGAGCAGCTTTGTCTCTACACCATCGCCTGCAGATGGGCCCTTGTAATCCTGTGCGCAGGGGGAAGTCGATGCGCCTTGGGGTAGATCCCAGTGGGATGGCCAGTTACGGTTGATGTCGCGGCCTACGCAAGACGCTGAGGGAGTGGTCTGGCGGTTCTTGCGCCACAAGCGGTCGGCTGACTGGGTGTAGGCGAAGCCATCTGGGTTCACGATGGGAAAGATGTAGAAATCGTACGAGTTCTTGAAACCGGCCGTGGTTGAGTCGGTGGATGTGAGCAGCTGGTACGCAGCGTATTCGACGACCTGGACGAATCGATTAGTAAAATGACATTCGCTTCCAGGGCAAAGTTTTGACATACCATTGTTGTGATCCATTCTCGTGCGTGGACTGTGCCGTGCCAGACTACAGCCCGCTTGGATCCCTTGCCGCCGCTGCCCCAGATGTGGATACCTTTGATGTCGCGGCCCTCGACTGACTTGCCAGCGGAGACTACTTCAGCATTTTTTGGGTACGCCGCGGCAAGATCTGTGATCCATTGCATATGGTCGGCAATGGAGTGGTACGCGTTGAACCAAGAGGCACTTGGTGCTGCACCGGCTGGAGCATACGTTAGAATGGAAACAAAAGTTTACAAGTTCCCTACGACAATGTAGACTTCTGGGGTATTTTCCTTGCATGGAATGGAGTAAACTTACCGGCATATATGCTAACAGTTTGCTCGTCCGCGATAGAACGGCCAAGGTCGTCGTGCATGACCTTGGTCTATCCAGTTGTTAGTGTCATGGAAAGCTCGTAGCTAGGAGGCTACATACTGTCAAAAAGTTAGCTAAGTATCTTCAAATTTACTCGTGGCGGCTACGTTACCCTCTATATCCTTTGTAGACGCTTCAAAGTCTTTGACTGCCGAAGGTGGGACCATAACGTCGACCACATCACTAGATGTTGGCTTGCCCTTCCACAAGTCAAGCGAAAGCTTGCTCATGACATCGTCGATTTTGGCAGCATTGGCACCGACATTGACGCGGTACACCTTCCAGTCATCGTAGTTGATCTTCTTCGTGTTGACGGTGGCCGCAGACGCTAAGCCTAAAGAAGCAAGGGCGATGTTGAGGAGCTTCATGGTATGTGAGGATGAGGGAGAAGCGTGAGGGAAGACTCCAGATGAAGGCACCGACTATGCTACCTATATATTCAGTGGTAGACCAGATGATATCGCGCAGCCCTGCTCTATACCGGCACTAAAAGGTTAGCCCCGGCTCCTCCAATGCAGATGCGGAAGGTCGTCAAAGATCCCCAGATTCGCGCCGACCCGGTCGCTAGCACCATGAACGGAAGGAACGAAACAGGTGGCTGCAGACTACATTAGTATGAAAACGAAAGTTTGGGAGATCGGTAGGGTAATGTAGACTCCCAGATCATTGTTTGTTTGGTCTCTGATTTGGATGGGGCCGACAAATCAGCGTCATCATGTACTCAACCAACCAAAGAACAAAGTAATCGCAATCGAATCACCACATAACGAGCGCGACCACAAGAAGATCCTTGAATCGGGTGCTGCGAAATTCGAGATAGAGACGATCATAAAAACACCAATGCGCGACCATTCGTTGACGGTGAACCTTGGCGTTTACGTGCCTACTGGTTTAGGCAGTTGGCTGGCTATGGCGGTTTGGTCCCCTGCTGATCCGTCTAGGCGCATGATGCTTGGGTCGCCTTCGAGCTTATCGTGGCCTTGGGATATTAACTACCGTCGCAATGGAAACAGCTTCCTGGGCGAGCGTTTGCTCCGTAGGAGATTAATGCGAGTCGGGCAGGTGGGCTGCAGGGGCGCTACTGCCACTGAACGCGGTGTGTTTGCTGTAGAGTATGAGTGGTCATCTGGTGAACTGTATGATCGACTCCACATCGTGGTTGTGTATTGAGCCATTAAGTCATGTGTAACAGGATGGAAAGATTGTGGAGGAACCGTGAAGCGTTCCGAGGTTCGCTGTGGCGGGGCGGGGGTGCACGTGTTGTCTTGGCGGCGATCATGGCAGCACGCCAAGCTAGGAACAAACTGAACACCCTGGAGTCTACATTAACGTTAGGTCATCTACTTCGAAAGCTCTTGTCTTGATGTAGTCTGCAGACCTGTTTATCTTTTTCTTGTTTGAGGTGGCAACGCCATGGAGCGCAATGATCGTTCGTGTTTCGGTCCGGCACATTGCTTCATACATGGTTCAAAGCCAGAAACACAGCCAAATTTAATTCACCAATTCTCGAATCTGCGGTTACGCAATCGCGCGAACAATGAGATTTCTCATGTAGAGAATATCGTGGCGGTGCAACAATAAGACGCGCACACTACTCCGTTCGCTCCTTTAAGCTCTAGCGGGTAGACCAACCAGGAACGTGCCACACTGAACGAATCGCTATGGCTTTCGTTGTAATCGTTCCAAGATTCGCTAAAGAATGGCTGTGGACAACATAAGATACACGCGAAACTTGGTAGAGCCACCGCAAAATCTGAACATGATCTTGGCTAATTGTCACTCTTCGTCACATTTATTCCACACAACCCTCTTTTCATCTTCCTCAAACTCCTTCATCAGCCACAATCCCACATCTTCGCCATGATGTCGCTACTTATAAATGCCGCTTGCGCATTCCCGACCTATGTACAGAGAGTCATACGGCCGACACCTTCACAAGAGGCCAGCGCAAAGATGTTCCACACCTTCTACATGCTGGTACCACTGTGCTTGTGGACCGTATACTGTCAAGAGCGCTTGGTCAATTTGATCGTGGGAGAAAGACAGGGTGGAATAACGACGAACTTCAAACACTTTCTCGCATGGTGGCTGGTGTACTACTTGGTATACTTCATGGCGTTAAGCCCGACGCTGCTTTATATATACTTGCCCGTTTTGTCTGAGTTACGTGTCAGATGGTCTATTTGACCTTCTTTCGGACCTCAAGCGGCTGCGAAAACCGCATTGGTGCTTTCCGACAGCATTCCCGTATAGCCAACCGGTTACTCTCTCTTCAGTCCGACCTTGCCAGCCTTCCTCAGCCCCACGACAGCGATCATCATACAAACGACCATATACCCGAACATAAGCCAATAGCTCGCCCTATACCCCTTCAACACAGCCACATCATCCTGGTCCTCAAACGCCCCGCCGCCATCACCATCACCATGGCCACCAGTACCCTCGCTCCCGCTCTTAACCTGCACCCCCAGTGCAACGACTTGGCAACTACCCATACCCAAACTCATACCAAACTGCGCCACGGTATTGAACACAGCACCAGCCAGCGCCTGCGTTTTCTCCGGGAAGTTGTCACTCACAATGATGAGGCCGACGGTGAACAAGACGTCTGCGCTAAACGGCGCGAACATCTGCGCCCAGAAAGCGAGTTTCCAGTAGCTCCACGTTGGTGGCACGACGGCCATTAGGAGAGGCGAGATGGCGCAGATCAAGGCTGAGCCGGCGACGAGCCAGCGGGCAGGGACGCGGTGGACGAACAGACCGACGGATATTTGGATTAGGACGCCGGCTAGGAGGTTGGGGAGGAGGTAGAGGGATGTTGCTAGCATGGAGGCGTGCTGGACTTCTTGGAAACTGGGCTTGGACTTAGACACGGACTTCTGGCATGTTACGCAGCAAGATGGTGGATGATGTTGGAGGATACGTACTACAGGCTGGAGAAGAGTTCAATGGAGTTCATGACCCCGTAAGAGAGTGCGACCATGATGCATGTGCTGGTAAAGGGGAGACTGTTCCACAGCTTGTTCGGTACGAGGGCTGTCTTTCCACGTCGCTCACGGTAGTGCATCCAGGCTGGAAAGGCGCAGAGAAGGAGGATGCTGATAGCGAGGAGTGAGGCCGTCTTGGCTGAGCGAATGCTTGTTAGATCGGCGCTGATAATACTATGTGCTGTTAGCTCTATCGGATTCAGACGATGAAGAGAAGATACATACGCAAGCACGTATGCGAGGATAGCCAGTCCGCCACTAGATATCATACCACCAACCCAATCAATATCTCTACCAACCTTCTTCCAAAGCGCGACCACACCACCCTGACTCTGGGAAGGCAATCTAGGAAGCGTCCAGACCGCAACCACAGCGAGCGACAACAAACACCCTCCTGTCACGTAGAATCCCAACCGCCATCCCGCTCTTTCAATCATAACACCACTCAACACCAACCCCACAGCAAACCCAAGCGGCTGACTGAACCCCAAACACGCAAACCCAAGATTCCTCGCTCTCCCAGACGGCACAGCACCAGTAATGATGGCAACAGAGGCGGGTAAATGCAACGCGAGCGCCACACCTTGAAGAGCCCGGAAAGCAACAAGCTGCCCGCCGGTCTGCGCAAACCCGCATGCCAGCGTGAAGACACCGAGGAAGGTGATCCCAGTGAGCTCGACGGGTCTAGCACCAACTATATCGGCTACAGAACCAGCGATGAGAAGTGCGGCCCCGGATGTGAGACCATAGACAGAGGAGGGCCATAGGTAAAGAGAGCGTTCTAACGCGATGGAACGCGCAATTGAGGGGAGGCCGACCGTAATGATGCCGTTGGTGAAGCTGGCTATGAAGCCGACGAAGGAGGGGGTAAAGATTGTGAGGAAAGTGCGGAGGGTGGATGGTTTTATGACGGATGGCGTGGCGGATGATTCGGTGTCGGATATGCGGTGATCATAATTCGAGACTTCGTGCGATGACCGTGGTGGATGATAGATAGGTGTTATGGTTGTGGTCTTGGATGTTGGCTGGAGCTCGAAGACCTCGGTCGCTGTCTGCGTTTGCGTTGCCATCTTCCAATCTTTTCAATGCGATATGAACGTACAATTGTTCCGGTTTGTGAGAGGAAAGAAGCTCTTGAGAAGACTACAACGCTCAAACATTTCTAGTAGGTTCGTTGAAAACTGTGGTAGAGGAAATTCTTTCGTGACTAGCTCCACGCCCTACGACGGGCGACATGTCAAAAGTCAGGGTCCACCATTTGGGTCGAGAATTTTGATCATCGGGAGAAGCATGGAAGAAGACAGTGTATTCATTGTCAGCTGTTAGTGATGCAGGAGCATCCATAGAGGTTGAACGCATGGTGTTCATGGGTTGCCAAGGCTGTCCAGTATGCTTCGGATGCAGGTACAAGGGAAGGGATGAAGACGCTAATGTTTTTGCTGAGCTTACGACGGTTACTACGGTGCTACGGTATGCGCAAGAGATGAGACTAGTCCGGGGATGTGGACTTCCCGCAAAGGCGTGATGCAGGGCGTTGCAAGCCCTTTATGGGGCTCTTCGCGAAGGCGATCGTTGGCGCGCGTGGCCTCACCGCCGACTCCATTTCTACGCGTCGCGTCAAAAAGCGGTAAAGAAAAAGAGGACAATTGTTGAGATGGTGTGCTGTACCGTCTGGACTAGACAGACTTCCAATCAATGGCGGGACGCCGCGTGGCGGTCAAGTTGATTGAAGTTGGCGGCCGTGCTGTTGCTGCATCAACGACTTTGTTTGGGTGACGTCGGCTCGCGTCCCCAACCTCGTCCTAACCTCCTGCATTTGCCCACCAGCCACTCGCACCCAACACGCTCCAAACCAAAAGTTAACGGGAGCCACGCTTCCACGCTCCAAACCCCACACTACACATTGCTACCAACACTACAGAATACTCTCTGACTACTTTCTGCCAGTTGCATTCGCTGTTCGACCCGCTATAATCGACCTGCACCTGCGAAAACACCACCACCACCCTCTCGCCTACCATGGCGCCCCATCCCGACATTGCCGCCGACGAGCGGGCACTCTCGCCCATGGCCGTGAATGCTCTACAGCTGGCCAAGTCAATGGTCAAGCGTGACCAACCTGAACCATACAAGAACCTCGCCTCAGCAGGCGCACGCCCACCCAACGACCTCTCTGGACCCGGCTTCCAGGCTCTGTTTGCTCTCATCGGTGTCGGACTCGCCCTTGGAGCCATCTGGTTCTTCTTCTGGGCTAAGAACGGTGGCTTCAAATGGCGCGACAACGACTGGGAGGACTACAAATCAACTGTGCTGAGACGCAAGGGACCCGACGGCAAGACTCTCTCCAACGCAACCAAGAGCACCAAGCTCGGCGGCGGCAGTGTTGTACACGGCGGTAGCTACTTCGGTGAACAGAGTGAGCTCAACTACACGGATGAGTCTGGTACCAGTGTCGACCCCAACGAATACCGTGACGCCGAGAGGGGCGAGGGCGGTCTTCGTGGCGGAGACGGACGAAGGCATAAGAAGCACCGCCGCGACCACACCAACGACTACAAAGACCCTGAGCTCCGCAAGTACCGCGAGGAAAAGGCTGCCCGTGTCGGTGGCCTCAACCGCGTTGGCGATGGCATGTACACCGACTACTCCGGCTCTCAACCCTCTGAAGTCGGCGGCTCCCAGGTCTCTAGTAACGCACCGCTGGTCAAGAAGGACGCCAAGGAAGTCAAGGACCCCAAGAAGGAAGCCAAAGCCAAGGAGATGCGCGCAAGGGAACGCATGCGCAAGGCCAAAGCCGCCGAAAAGGAAGCCGCCAAGAAGGAAGCCGCTGAAGCCAAAGCCCGCAAGGAAGAACAAAAGGCAGAGGCCAAGCGCGCAAAGGAAGAGCAGAAGAAGTCCAAGAAGCACGGCACACCCTCTGAGGCTCCCGAAATGGCTGAAGTCACCCGTCCCATGATCGAGTACCGTTCCCCAGAAAGTGACTACACCCGCGCCTACACTGAGTACACCGCCCCATCTGAAGCCGGCACACCAACACGCGCTCCCACAAGGAGCAAAGCCCCGTCTGGACCTCGCCGTGCTCCTCCCTCCGCTGCATACTCCTTCACCACCGGCGACGACGACACCGCAACCGTCTACACCGGCGTCTCTACCTCTGACTTTGCCAAACCGCCTCCTCCCAAGGCCGCCCCCAAGACCGAGCGCAGCGCCCCCTCCGAAGTCACCGAGTCAAGCTACTACTCCGACTACCGTCCCAACGCCGACAAGTCCCTCTACTCCGACCCCAACAAGCACGCGCCCCGCTCCCGCTCAGCCCGCCCGTCCCAAGACCGTCCCTCCCAAGACCGCACCTCGCGCTCCGGCCGCCCAACCTCCGAGTCTCGTCCCCGCCCCTCAGGCTCGCGTTCGCGTCCCACCTCTGAGTCGCCCCGCAAGCAACACCGCACTTCGCGCCCTGCTCCCCCTGCATCTGACATCTTCACCACTACCAACGGTGATTCTCAGGGCCACATGAGCTACCCGTGCCACATCCCCGGTCTTAGCCAGGCGGGTAGTGTGCACCCCATGGAGAGCGTGTCTCAAGTCGGTGTCCCGACTAACGCGAGGAGGGAGAGGGGTGGCAGAGATGTCATGGACGGCTACCGTCGTGGTGGCGTCCGCGCTGTTGGACGAAGGGACAGTTTGAGCGACAGCGACTAAACTTGTCCGTTCGCTCCTTTCTCTTCGGTAGTATGATTCGGCATTGCATACCCCCTTTTTGGCGTTATTTGGGCTTTTTCTTGATAGAGCGACTTGATCTTTCTTTGAACCTCGGGGTTTCAACTTTGTACAGCGAGCGCGATGAGAGATTGATGTTATGGATGTACAGACTTTGGATAGGGTATACCAGTGATGGATTGAACGACGGTGGAGGTTTCCGAACGAATGAAGGTTAATGACCTTGTATGTAGCAACACTCACAAAGCAATACATGATGGCACGGAAGTCACGATAATCAAAGACATTCTCTCCCCACACTTTCACCTCAAACCTATGTGACGCGCATCGACCACCAACCTCACTCTCAATCACACTCAACACAGCACAGCACATAGAGCAACACATCTCAATCGAACGAAAAGGGTATATCACATTACTCTGTCCACTTCTTCCGTCGCAGAAAAACGAACTAGTAACTAGACTACAACGCTAGAACTTGCTTGCTGGCATAAGAACAAAAGCGGAATCCAGTCGGGCTAATCCTGAGAAAACGCAAGAGCAGATATAGAGAGACAAGAGACTGAGACTGGTTCATAGCTACATACATAGGCATTACCTCGTTGGTTTTCCGATTTTCCTTTCCTTCCTTTCCGTGTTCCGTGGTTTCGTGGGCCAGATCAACTGGCCTATGGGTGATTTGTTTGAGATGATAGTGATGGGGTTGTGTAGGGGTGGTTGGTCGTTACGATTGTGGTGGTGGGGGTGTTTTTATGATATATTGGTGTCGTGTTGTAGCGAGGGTGCTATGTTGTGATTTGTTGAGAGTATGTTGATGATTTGGATAAATGGGAAGCAAGCTTCCTCAACCCATAGTCTACAACTCATCCCTCACAGCCTGGGTGGCTTGAGTAGCGGCGCTGGAGATACTGCTGACAGCTTCCTCAGCGCTACCAGATGCAGCTGCGTACATGGACGCAATGCGGCTGTTGGCGGCGGCTACCGCGTCGGCGATGCGGCTGTTGGCAGACTCCATAGCTCCTTGCTCAGGTCCATAGACGGCGGAACTGGCTGCTGAAGATAGGTAGGCTGCATTCTCGCTAGCAGCAGAGGCAACGTACTCGGCGTTGACGCTGGCTACAGACGAGATTGAGCTGTATACACCACCGGCACTGCTTGTGGCTGAAGCGACGTAGTCGGCTGCTGTAGGCGTGCCGAAGATGGCTTCGCTGATAGCAGCTTGGGCGGACGCCGCGGCTGACGAAAAGCTATCTTGAGCTGATTGTGTTCCGTAGAGCTTCTCGCTCACTTGAGACTGGATGGATGAGTAGGCGCTCGCAACTGACTCGCTGGCCTGCTCAGCGGCACCCTTGGGCGTTCCGTAGAGAGCGACAGAGGCACTCTCAACAGCAAGATCCAAAGATGCGCTAGCCTGGCTCAAAACATCTTCGATCATGGCCGGGGGAGTGAAGACGGCGCTGACGACTGACGAAGCAGAAGCATACGCGTCAGCAGCCGCGTCGGTGACAGCATCATAACTGTCGCCCGCGTACGAACTAGCAGCGTTGATACCTTCACTGGCATAGGACTGGGCAGAAGCCATGGCTGCGGGCAGGCCCGTGGAGTAAGCGGAGGCGAAGCGGTTCATGACGCTCTCGGTGAAGTCGGGCTCCCTGCCAATGACAAGCTCTGAGATAAGAGCCTGGACCTCGGCATATTGTGCAGCAGCGGCAGCGGTAGCCTACGTGTACAAAGTCAGTATGTCTCAAATGCGTTTTATTCATCGGACGAAGTTCTTACCTGAGCACCGTAAGCGCCAGCTTGAGAGTATACAGACTCTGCCCATGGTGTAGGCTGGCCGTAGACCTGGCTACTGGCCTGAGCAATTAGTGCTTCCCAGTTCTGGCTGGCTTGGGAGGCAACCGACTCAGTCCAGGGAGTTTCTGAACCGATGACACCAGAGCTAACCTGGGAAGCGGCAGACTCAGCGGCTGCTTGGGCGTTGGCGACAGCCGACTGTGCTGAACCAGACACGTACGACGCGGCAGACTCGGCCGATCCAGATACAGCAGACGCAGCAGAAGCGGCTGATGCGGAGGCGACCGAAGCCAAGGACTCAATGGTACCTTGCTGGGGACCGTATACAGCGCTCGATGCAGCATCAGTAAACTCGGAATAACGGGCGTGCGCAAGGCCCACAGCTTCGTAGTACTGTCGGCGAGCGCTGTCAGCGACACCGGTGGATTGAGGTGCGGCAAACTGGGCAGAAGCCTGGCTGAGGCCTTCAGCGAGGCGAGATGATGCGATGGAGGAGACCGATTCGAAGTAACCCTGGGTGGGGCCTGCTGCATAGCTCCTCACTGATTCAGTGTAT